GTGTCACTGCAACAATTTTATATAAAGTTTAAACTTTTTTTTAATATCCTGAAATCATAAAGCTCTAAGTATTAAAGTGTTCTGTGGTTTGAATCATTATTATAATTAATAAGACATACTAAATCAAAACAAGTTAAATGTATTACTAATTCTGATAAATAATTAATAAACATAAAGTAAAATTATAGTGAAAGTGCATCCCTCAATGAGATGGCAATACTGGATGACTTTTTTTTTTTTTTTTTTTGCCAGAAAGACAGAGAGAAACAGAGAGATAGAAAGTGAGAAATCACCCCCCAGGGGGGATGGCCATGCTGCAATCCCTTCTCCTCCATTCTCCTCTTGGGATCTTGGGCATGCACGCACATGCACCCTGCGTGAGTTTAAGCCACTGAGTCTGGGATTCGAACCGGGGTGGACTACATGGGAGTTCAACGACATAGCCATTATGCTGACTGCTGGTCCCTCTATTAGGCCCCTTTAGGAAAAAAAAAAAAAACTGAGAAACCACCCTACTTGCAGGGAAAAAAAGTTTTACCACTTAGTTGCTCACTTTTCAATTTTGCTAGTACTCTTCTGTGTGGTAGCCAGTATCGGGGTTGGGAATGAAGGGGGGTCCTCCCTGAGACAGTAAACCTAGGTAAGTAAGCCTGGTAACCTTAGTAAGTAAACCTAGTTAACCATGCCTTTGGGACAGGTGAGGTTTGGAAGGAGGATTATGAAAAGAGTAGGTGATTATGAAAGAGTAGGTGTAAAAGGACAACTTGCTCCTCTGTCACCTATCAGTTCTAGACAACTATCTATGGGAGTTGTGGATCATGGAATTCAATCTCTTAAAACTTAGGGTGTATGCACAGTGTTTAGAAAATCCTTAGGTGGTCCCTGAGGTTCACAATCCAGTTTGAAGTTCACTAGAAACCTGAATGAACTCAAATGAGACCAGACTAGTCGCTCCGGATTCCCAAGTTCATGTTTCTAAAGGAGGGAATCTGGCCCACTCTACTTTTTTGTGCCAACCATGTCTGAAGCTTCTGGTCAAGTGGTCAGCCATGTGCAGCAGAGGCAGGTGACTGTGTTGACTGGACAGGTCAACTGTCATGTGCAGTACTTCTTGAAACCTTCTCTACTTCTGTTCTGTTGAAAATAAGTCCTCTGGTCTTTGAAATTCCACTTCTCTGATGTTACCTCTTATTGCATTCATCTCTTTCCCCCTTTGTATTCCAGTTACTCATGTGACTTATCACTTTTTCTAACTCTAAGGTCCTTAAGGGTGGGCCCATGTCTTAATCATTTCCTAGTATTGTACCTTACATGTAGTAGGTGTTTAATAAATATTTGTTGAACAGATTCATTGAATAAGGAATGCCTTAAGCTTTGTATTCCCTATAGGTTCTAGAGTAGTTCTGGACTTTCAATAGCAGAGTCCCAGAAGAATGGATGAGTTAATCAGTGAGCAAAACAATGAATTAAGTCAATGAACTAATGAGTCAGTGAACAATGGCTTGAAAGTAAGAGTTTGCCTCTCGTGTGAGAGTTAAGATCTGTAGAATCAATGTAAAGCGCTTGGACTCTCAATGTAAAGCTAATAGACTCTCCTGTTTTATATAGATTTTTACAATTGGTTATGTTGGATATAATTGCTGGTCACAAAACATGTAAGTAAATCCTTTCCTGTCCTTTGCATCTTGTTTTCAGGTGTGAGCAGCGTCTCCTCACCACGGTGGTGTTTGGTCCGGACCTCAGCCGGGGTGAGGATGTAAGACCCCCAGCTCTGCACATGAGTGGTACAGGCCACCAGGAACACCTGGCTCCAGCCACGTCCACAGACATGTCAGCCGTGGAATAAAGTGGACACTTTTTCTCAGCTTCTCAGGGTTTCAGTCCTTTTGGGTTTGTTTTACCTTTTTTTATGGTTTTGTGGCTGGACGTTCACAACCAAGGCGGACACCATGGGGGATCAGCAGCTGTACAAGACCAACCATGTGGCCCACGGTGGTGAGAACCTTTTCTACCAACAGCCACCACTTGGTGTCCACGGAGGGCTGAACCACAACTATGGGAATACAGTCACAGGGGGTGGAATGGATGCCCCTCAGGCCTCGCCCATCTCTCCCCACTTCCCTCAAGATACGCGGGATGGTCTGGGCTTGCCCATTGGCTCCAAAAACCTTGGCCAGATGGATACCTCAAGGCAGGGAGGGTGGGCAGGCCATACAGGACCTGGAAACCATGTCCAGCTACGTGGCAACCTGGCCAACTCGAACATGCCCTGGGGGGCTCCGGCCCAGGCTGAGCCCACGGATGGCTACCAATACACCTATTCCCAGGCCAGTGAGATCCGGACCCAAAAGCTCACCAGCGGTGTCTTACACAAGCTGGACTCTTTCACCCAGGTGTTTGCCAACCAAAACCTGCGAATTCAGGTCAACAATATGGCCCAGGTGCTGCACACCCAGTCAGCAGTGATGGATGGAGCCCCTGACAGTGCCCTCCGCCAGCTGCTATCTCAGAAGCCCATGGAGCCCCCAGCACCCGCTGTACCTTCCCGCTACCAGCAGGTGCCCCAGCAGCCTCACCCTGGTTTCACTGGAGGGCTGTCCAAACCAGCTATTCCAGTCGGGCAGTACCCTCCTCAAGGGCACCTGTATTATGACTACCAGCAGCCCCTGGCTCAGATGCCAGTGCAGGGAGGACAGCCGCTGCAGGCGCCACAGATACTGTCACAGCACATGCAACAGATGCAGCAGCACCAGTATTACCCACAGCAGCCCCAGCAGCAAGCTGGGCAGCAGCGTATCTCCATGCAGGACATGCAGCAGCAGCAACAGATCCGTCCGCCCCCGCCTCAGCAGCCGCAGCCAGCCGC